TCTTAATAACAATGTTCAGTGAGCAATGAAAAGTAAACAATCGAAACATGGTAAAAAATATATATTTCATTGAGACATTGCCAATGTGACCTGGTTATGTATACATACAGTGCTTGAGACATATTACCACAAATATTTAATATACAGGTCACACCATAAACCAATAACTTAATCATAACAAAATGTAATTTAAATGATGTACTTGTCACGCCCTGACGTATGGAACTCTTGTTTGTGGAGTCAGGGTGTGTGAATCTATGTTTTCTATGGTTAGGATCTAGAGTTGTGTTTCTATGTTTGGCCGGGTGTGATTCCCAATCATAGCTGTCGCTCGTTGTCTCTGATTGGGGATCATACTTAGGTAGCCCAGTTGCCTACTATGGTTGTGGGATCTTGTTCCGTGTTAGGCTTGTATGTTTTTAGCCTGAGGATGTCACGTCACGTTGTTTCTTGTTTTGTTTCATGTTTATTTGGTTTAATAAACATGTTCGCATACCACGCTGCACCTTGGTCTGACCCGTCTCTCAACGATCGTGACAGTACTGTTAAAAAGGAAATCTATTCAATTTCCGATCATGTTACAAATATAAACACTGTTTTAAAATTACTTTCTCTAACTGGAGCACATGAAAAGCATCAGTACCAGTTTCCTTAAAAAGAAGCTTACAGAGAACAAAAAAAAGCTACACTCCTTCATTTGGCCCAGGTTTTATTGAATAAAACTCAACATTGTAGCAAATTGTCCTTTTGTCAAGGTAAGAGAAGTGAATGAAAATAGATTAAACTGCTTTGACAAGGAATTAAGAGCTTTCTAAAAATGAAGTTTGTGTGAGGAGGGGTAAAAAACAGATGATGCATTGTGGGTCAGAGGGAGGTCACTTCTGATGCTGAAAGGCACATTTGAATAACAAGTGGTGAGGATCACTGGTCAGAATATTACTGTTTTGTAGACATTGGGACACTTTGTATATGACAATGACTTATGAAGACTATAAAACCATCCAATCCCAGTCCAAGCTACGCATTTCAGGTCAGGAAAATAACATTCCTTTTCATTGACCACTTGAGGGCCCTGTTCTGGATCTAACAGTTGTTGTCAGTTCGACAGCCCTTTCACTGACTTACAAGTGATTGTAATTTTATTCAGTAACACCTAGGGTTATATGAATCTTCATAATAAACTAGTAATGCAACACAACCAATAATACTTTGGTCAACAACCACAAATCATTGAGTCAAAGTCAAACTCCATAAACATGGTAAACTCTGAGTAATCTCGAGGTGAGCTCGTGCACACTAGTGCTTTTCGGTTTTCCACTATCACCACCATCTCCGTGCATGGGAGATGCTTTGTGGTGCTAAGAGCCTTAAGCATCACATCCATGGCATGGGCAACTCCTTGGGCGTGCCATCCGTATTTCAGTGCAAACAGGTGGCAGGGCTTAACCTGCGTATATTTCGGGTGAGACATCTGTGTTGTCAAAGCCAAAACTTCAATGCCAGTAGAAAACATGCAGGGAATTAGTCTACTCAAAGACCTTTAAACCTCTGGCGAAATGACAGTAAACGTGGCTTGGCCTAACCTGCCTAGACCGAGAATGGAAAACAGGCCAATCTGGGCATCCATCTGGGTTCTAAGCTAAGGGATCCCACCTCACAGCATCTCCCAGCCATTCTAAACTAATGCAAGTGACCTGTGCTACTTTCCAAGCTTAAGACAAGTGAATGTGGCCACATTCTAGACGCAGTAAGCCCATTTGTGACTACTGCAATGCCAGAGAAGACCGACATTTGCTGATACACAGCACATTTAACTCTACCCAAAGACCTCTGTGTTCCAAAGACCTCTCCTGCAGCTAGACAAGTGCTGCAGGAGAGGGTCCAAGTGCTAAACATACCATTGGACTAGGAAATACATTCTATAGTGCAGCACATATATAACAAATTGATGACCCACTACATCTACAAAACAGGATATACTCCAACCATGACCCCTTTTAATGTTATTAATATGTGTCTTATGTGTGACCTCTGATGATATTAACCCTGATGTGACCTATGCATCCCCCCCGCCCCTCAACCCCCTCCCAGCCCCAAGCCCTCTGTCCCTGGGGCCTTCATGTGATGGGGGACAGGCCCTGCTGGTGCTCCAGACTGTCCCTGTCTGCGTCTGCAGTGTGTTCCAGTGGGGTCCTGATGACGATGTGGACTGATCTCTCCCTGGGTACCTCCTGCTTGCTGCTGCTAAGCCCTGGTGCTCTTGGTCCTGCCCTCGCCCATCTGACCCCTGGCCGAAGCCCCGATCGGACGCAAGCACTCGGCGGACGCCAGCTTCACAGAGTTCTCTCTCTTGGGCCTGTCTGTAGCGTTGGAGAATGGGCTGGAGAATGCCTTGTCAACTGCGTCAGAGATGGAAAAGTAAGATGCCTGTTACTTCATGTCAATCATAGAGATGTTGCGTCAATTTAGTCTTTGTGTTAATCTGCCACTCTCAAAGTGTAAACACATACATATGAGAGGGGATGGTGGTAGTATGGTAGATGACTGCTGCTTTTACCTATCCTGTTGATGAGGGCTGGTTTGTGGGGAATATGCTGCTCTATCTTGTTGTTGTTGTTGTTCTCTACGGTGCTGAGGCTCTCGCTGGGTCTTCTCACGGTGCGGGTCTTGGACCGAAACTTGTTGGAGCGGGCCTCCTGGATCCACTCATGCTGCATGGCCTCGTCGGGCGTCATGCGCTTCTTAGGGTCCCACCTGACAGAGAGAAGAGAGCAGAGAGTCAGTCAGAGGGAGTATCTCAATTGCATACTACTCGCGTCCTCTCTCCTTCTCAAAACCCATTGGATGAGAAAGTCAGAAGTCCCTCCCCTCTGACCTTCTCCTCCATTGGGTTTTGAGATAGAGGCGAGGAGAGAGAAGAGAGGATGCAAGGAGAATGCAAATGAGATTCTCCCAGAGAGAAAACAACACACTGGGCTTCCTTGTAAAATAGATCTCAATCTCAATGGGCCTCACCTGGATGAGTAAAGGGTAAATAAACTAAATAAATAATAATGCAAAAGAGAGCTTGCTTCACCTGACAGTTTAACATGATTCTATAGTATTAGTTATATTTGAGATTGGATGATTCTATGGCTGTGTTATTGACAGGTGTACAGTACATACGTGAGACAGCGTTTGATGAAGTCCAGAAAGAGAGGATCGTTGGTCTTCAGGACACTGGCCAGATCCTTGGAGTTTGGCTGTCTCTTTCTACCCTTGCTGTTGGTGATGTTCCTGGGATTGCCCTTGGAATCTGCACAATCACAGCCAGTGATTAATCAACAAGAAGATCTCTTACTAAGAATTGTAAACCGGGTAGTTTGGGTCCTGGATGCTGATTGGCTGAAACAGCATTTCAGCCATGTGTATATCGGACAATATACCACGGGTGTGACTTAAACATACTTGTTTACTGTTCAATTTATGTTGATAACCAGTTTATAATAGCAATAAGGTACCTCTGGGGTTTGTGGTATATGGTCAATATACCACGGCTAAGGGCTGTATCCAGTTAAACAGAATTTCAATCGAACAGTCAATGAGAAAACCATGTGACTGCACTAGATCAAAAACACGTACTAAAAAATTGCCTTTTCCTGGTCGCTGTCAACAAGAAATCATTTGGAGGCATTCCCAGCACCTGAGAACAAATCAGGCAAAAACACACAGTGAGTAATACATTGTTGCTAGCCAAACCACAATGTTGACAGAGCCATTAACAACGAGAGCATTAACAAAGGTACTAGGTAGGTACCTCCATGATGCAGGCAATCTGCTCCACCTCACTTTCCCCCGGGAAGAGGGGGAAGCCAGTGTAGAGCTCAGCCAGGATGCAGCCAAAGCTCCACATGTCGATGGCCATGCTGTAGGGATGGCCCAGGAGCACCTCTGGGGAGCGGTAGAAGCGGCTCTGGATGTAGGTGTAAACTGTGGAGGAGGAGTGTCAGGAATTAGGTATGCTATAATGTGATACTGTGATGCTATAATGAGTTTGAGTTTGTGGCCCCTGTTTGCCTACTTGATCTAACCTTACATTAGGAAACCTACAAACTAAGACACTCACCTCTATGCTGCTCGTAGCAGCTGGCTCCAAAGTCAATGACCTTGATGTTGCCTTGGCCTTTGTGTGACAGGAGAATGTTTTCCTGGAAAATAAACACCCAAGTATAAGCACATTCTCTACATCTCCTATTGGCACCATTAAACTCAACCAACAAGGAATATGTGTGCAAATATACTTCACTTTTCATTATGTAATGTTAAGGTTGTTAGGGGTTAAAAGTCATGGCTAGGGGTCATACCGGTTTTAGGTCACAGTGGATGATCTTCTCTTTGTGCAGCATCTGCAGGCACTTGAGGAGGGAGTAGGCGAAGCGACGCACCAGGATCTGGCTGAAGCCCTGGAAGTTGTTCTTCTTGATGAGTTCGTACAGGTTCACTCTGCACGGTCAAAGACAAATAAACATCCTTTAGATTTAGATGCCCAAATAATCTTCATACTACATGTTTACCTCCTGTTGATGAAATACAGCAGAAGTATTCTCTCCTGAACTAAATCAACAAATAACAAAAAGGTATTATTGTATTTCTGAATATGATCTAATCTTTGGCCCTACAGTGGCTATGTCTGTCAATCCTACCCCAGGAGCTCGAAGGAGATGCAGAGATGGTTGCGGAAGTAGAAGTGCTCCTTCATGTGAATGACGTTGTGTTGGTTGTCTCTGTCCTTCCTTCTCAACACATCCAGGATATACAACTCCACCATGGCCTGGTGGTGTAACCTGCAGCCAATCACAACAGAGAAACAGTGTTATAACCATGTGTCATAGTGTTATAACATGTTATTAGTGAAAGGTTGGTATTTGACAACCCAGCTGTGCTACGATATGCTAGCTAGCTGCGTTAGTCACCTTTTCTTGTTGCGAATGACCTTGATGGCGACAAGTTCATTGGTCTTGTGATCCAGGCACTTAAGGACCTGTCCGAAGGATCCTTTCCCGATGACCTTCAGCACCTCAAACCGGAAGCCTATGTGGTCATGCGCGACCTGCAGAAAAAAGGGCATAATTTACTGTAAAGCAATACTGCATAAAGTGAAACTCTAGATGGCATTAAAGTTTCTTTACTGCCATCTTTGTGACCATTTTTATGTTACCTTCAGATAGCTTCCTCTCTTATCGTCGTAGCCAGAGTTGTGGGGCAGGCTGGGGGAGCCCTCAATCTTCTTGGCGTCCAGGCCCAGGTACCAGACCTCGGAATAGTCCATGATCTCCTCTTGCTCATACACAGTCATACGATCTTTGAACGCCTTCAGGACCTCTGTATAGGAAGGAAAGGAAATTCCTGTCAGCAAATCCCAGTTTGCATTTGTTTCTTCCTGATGAAATAAGATCCAAGGGACAGAAAACTCTTTCTCATTTAGAATTGCCAATATTAATCGCCAACACCAGCACCTTCCACCAACGCTTCCCTACTCTCCAACTCCTACCCAGACCTAGTCCTACCATTAGCCTACGCACACCTGCAGGAGACATGGGCAGATTGTGTCCCTCAATATTTCTCTCCTGTTCCTGATTGTTCTTCCTGTTTATGGACTCTGGCAGACTCTCCACTGTGGAGCTCCGTGATCTCTCATCCTGTCAATTACAAAACATACAGGAAATTAACTAGTTGCAGAGGTTTTGCATGGTAACAATCTAACACTAATATTGACACTGTTATAATTTCTCAGTGGAATGTTGCATTGATTAAATATACTAGGCTCTAAGTACATAATACCAAGAGATTAGCCTAATTGAAACAAGGACTCACCTGGAAGCTTTCCTGGTGCCTGGTTCCTGAAAGATGCATATCACAGGTGTTCTGCGGGCCCTTGCTTGTAATGTGGGGCAGGATGCTTTCGGACTGGTGATGGTACTTGGCATTGTTCACAACCAAGGGCTTAGTATCCAGCTTGGGCAGGGTGCCTTTGCCCGTGCCACAGTTCTACAGCCAGAAAAAGAGAGAGAGAGAGAAGGAGAGAGAGCGAGAGAGGGAGGCAGAGAGAGAAGGACCCACATTTAGAGGGTAATCTAGGTTAAATCTATAGAGATAATACAGGCGTTATTACATAACGAGGTTTGAGGCAGTGGGTGTTTCTAGTTTTCCTGCTGATTCAGTAATGAGCCAGCAAGTAGCCTGTGCTGCCCCCCACACAGAGCGTAGAGTTACCTGCAAGGGCGAGAGTGAAGCAGGGACAAAAGCCTTGGAGTCTCTCTCTCTATTTTTTTTTTCTTTCACTCTCTCTTGTTTATAGGCTGCTAGTCTTTCTCTTTACTCTATGTAACACATCCTCTCAAAAGCTGCCCAAAAGGCTAGGTTATCCCCGGGCATCACCTCTGACTGAATGGCAAAGCTGTGCTGTAGTTACAGTAGTATGGCTCTCGTGCCCTTATTGTTATGAACTGAAACAGCGCTGCCAAATTGAGAGGGGAGTTTCTATTAATAGAACGCACTGTTTAATTTCCAGGGCTTTACTGCAGTATCTGCCAGATGAATTATTCATAAAAAGCTATATATAGCAACATGGTAATGAAGGCAGTTACCTCTGTACCCGGCCGGCACGTTTTCACACTGTTATTATGAACATCGAATCCTTTGGGATTAAGCAAAGGACTTTTAATCTTAAAACTCAGGATCCACAATCAGCAGGGACTACCTGATGATAACCACCCCGCTCCTTCTTTTCAGAGGTGTGGGCTCGGCTGTTCCGTCATTCAGTATTCCCCCACAGTTCAGCTCACACTAGTCATAGTACTCCCCCACACGACCCGATCATGACAAAGTTATCGCATTCCCCCGCACACCCACAGACAAGAGCAGTATACTGGAGGACCAGGGAGAAGGTTTACCTGCTGCTGCGGGTAGGCCCGGCTGGACCCAAGGCGTGTGCAGTCAGGCTGGAGTTTGTGTTGCTGGGAGTAGGCATCGGGCCTCCCTGTCTGTGGGGATTGGACGAGAAAAGGATGTCATATAATATGCGCTAGCTGAAGATGAACACACTCGTGCACATACCTACACATAGGCACACATTATTTTGCTTGGCCTCAGCACTCACACGTGTGCACACGCACACACACACGTGCTACACACACACCATCTGCATATAGAAATCTATGAAGGCCAACGTCCTAATTAATTTACAATATATTTTTAGAACAAGCGATGATTCTCAAATGTGGTTCATATGCAGCTGTAGTCAATACTGCATAAATGCATAAATGCAGTAACCCAGTAGACCCCAGGAAGCCAATGATCCATTCCTGAACACACCAAGCTGTAGATCATGGGGATTAAAGTGGGTTAGTCCATATGAAGGTCAGTGGGACCATGAAACCATGGAGGTAATTCTGTCAATGCATTGACATCTGATTCTGAAACCCGCTGGAAAATGTTTTCAGACTTAATTACTACAGTACAATGACAAAGTTAGCGATGAAAGAGTGCCTAGAGGTTCCAGATACAGTACTGTGAACTAAAACAAAATGCAAAAAAGCCAATATTGAATTTGTAGCCAATAAGCTACATAAAACAAAGCAATAACATTCTTTAAACCCCACCTTGATATTAATTTCTGGAAACATTGCGTAATAACCCGGGTGAATTATCATCGAGAATCAGAATATACTGGAAATACTCGAGTTGGCACTCCTAGTTGGTCCACGTGAGCGCACAGTTTGAAAACATTATCAGGCTCTTCCAATTTTATTCCCGATTAAGCGCAGAAACCAATATTCCGCTTTGCATCAAAATGATGTTGGGGCTCTGTGGGAACTGCAGTGTTGTGCTGCAGAATAGTAATGGACGGACTGTAGATCTAGGAAAAAGCTTTGTCAGCCGAAGATTATGGAGAAGGTGCAAGCTGTTGTTAGCCTGACGCGCACATCGTCGGACAGCCAGTTAATGTATTCTACGGTCACAGTTTATTCCACATCGACAGGCGACACCTTGGACTCCCGGTATAGATTGTTTGTCAATTCATTCACCTGTCCAACTTTGCACAGACTCCTCGGACACGGCATTCATAACTTTCCAAGCATGAGAATCACCATTGGGCGTAAAACCGTTATGTAGCTGGTAACTGTCGTAGTAAATATAAAATGTTATAGATTGATCTGAGTAATATGTTGTGTAAAATGGTCTTATAAATGCTGTTACAGGAGTGTGTCATGTGTCTGATACTAACAGCGTACTGTTCTGTGTCATGTGTCTGATACTGTTGTGTTAGTTGTCTGTGCATAACATTTTAGTAGCGAACAATGGACAGAGGACCATATCTTGTCACCAGGTGGCCAAGGACAACACCCACGCCACAGGCCACAATCACTTGTTGCTCCCCACGAGTTTCCCTTGAGACACACACACACACACACACACACACACACATCTCACTGTGGACGCACACTCATTCTCAACTCCCCTGTCTACTGGTCGGGTGCCAAGGGCAGAGGACTCTGCCGTGCACCAATGGGGCATCTGCTCTGGACAGAGCAGACCCGCCTCCTACGCCTCGGGAACCAATCAAGGGACTAGAAGAAGGACCCCTTCCTTTATGTTACATTGTATAAGTAATGCTGTAAACTCTGTTTATCCATCCTTCTCAGCTGACACTAATAGAGTGCTATATGATTAGGTCCATGCATGTTAATTAGCAGGATCCCATGCATGTAGCTTGAGCAGTACCAGCTATCTCTGTTTTAATAAACTGCCTTTTGCTTAAGCAAATTCCTCTCTGTCTAGCGTCGATGGTTTGTACTCCCTCTCCTAATTATGGTTTCACCAACATAACCTACAGAATGCAGACCATATACTGTATTTGCCAAGTCCTCCAGCATATAAAATCCCTGGACAGTTTGTGACCCAGCTCAAATCCTCTCTCTCTAGCCCGTGCATGACACCATTTTTTTCATAAATCCTCAAATCCTTGAGTTCAGTCTTCGCGGTTTTTATCTAATCGTGTAGAAGATGAGCTGCACCTTCACTGGTTCAATGCTCACGTGTCAAGACTCACTGCTGTGGAACTTAAATTCAGACGAGCACTGCTGAATAGAAACCACACATCTGAGGTTAATAATTACTTACTTCACTTTAGTCTCCCACGAAGGTACCATCAAAATAACCACTAACCACATTAAACATGGAATATTGAATGAAATCACAACAGCTTTACAATTGTAAAGATCTTAACAGTTGTAAAAATCCAATTGTCAAAAAACAGTACTAAATCATCAAATGTTTAATCATTGGATCAGTTTTTAATCACACACACACACACACACACACACACACACACACACACACACACACACACACACACACACACACACACACACACACACACACACACACACACACACACACACACACCCTATGTCTTACTACACCAGTCAGGACTTTTGGGGGGACAAACAATTGATTCCCATTCAAAGTCCTATTTTCCCTAACCCTAAACCTAATCCTTAACCCCTAAGTGAGGACCGGCAAAATGTCCTCACTTCTCAAAATGTATGTTGGTTTACTATTCTTGTGAGGACTTCTGGTACAAGTATAGTAAAACGTGTACACACACACACACATACACACCTTATAATTGAAAGTGAATGACACAACAAGGCAAAAGCAGACCATGTGCTAGCTCATCCAGAGTGGAGAATCCTTTGAGATGTGGAGGAGAGGCATCTACACTTTCATGTGATTCATCCGACATACCCCACGCGTGACGTGGGTGATATAGTATGTTCTACTGAAGCCTACGTCGGCACGGTCAGTCATCTCAGGGGTAGACACGACTACATAACAGTGGTCGTTTCATAACATGTTTTTATCAGTGCTGACAGAAAATAGCTGTTTTCTTTCCATTGCTACCCAGTGTATTTCTCTCACCTTTGATATACAGTGGGGAAAAAAGTATTTAGTCAGCCACCAATTGTGCAAGTTCTCCCACTTAAAAAGATGAGAGAGGCCTGTAATTTTCATCATAGGTACACGTCAACTATGACAGACAAATTGAGAAAAGAAAATCCAGAAAATCACATTGTAGGATTTTTAATTTATTTATTTGCAAATTATGGTGGAAAATAAGTATTTGGTCACCTACAAACAAGCAAGATTTCTGGCTCTCACAGACCTGTAACTTCTTCTTTAAGAGGCTCCTCTGTCCTCCACTCGTTACCTGTATTAATGGCACCTGTTTGAACTTGTTTTCAGTATAAAAGACACCTGTCCACAACCTCAAACAGTCACACTCCAAACTCCACTATGGCCAAGACCAAAGAGCTGTCAAATGACACCAGAAACAAAATTGTAGACCTGCACCAGGCTGGGAAGACTGACTCTGCAATAGGTAAGCAGCTTGGTTTGAAGAAATCAACTGTGGGAGCAATTATTAGGAAATGGAAGACATTCAAGACCACTGATAATCTCCCTCGATCTAGGGCTCCACGCAAGATCTCACCCCGTGGGGTCAAAATGATCACAAGAACGGTGAGCAAAAATCCCAGAACCACACGGGGGGACCTAGTGAATGACCTGCAGAGAGCTGGGACCAAAGTAACAAAGCCTAACATCAGTAACACACTACGCCGCCAGGGACTCAAATCCTGCAGTGCTAGACGTGTCCCCCTGCTTAAGCCAGTACATGTCCAGGCCCGTCTGAAGTTTGCTAGAGTGCATCCAGAAGAGGATTGGGAGAATGTCATATGGTCAGATGAAACCAAAATATAACTTTTTGGTAAAAACTCAACTCGTCGTGTTTGGAGGACAAAGAATGCTGAGTTGCATCCAAAGAACACCATACCTACTGTGAAGCATGGGAGTGAAAACATCATACTTTGGGGCTGTTTTTCTGCAAAGGGACCAGGATGACTGATCCGTGTAAAGGAAAGAATGAATGGGGCCATGTATCGTGAGATTTTGAGTGAAAACCTCCTTCCATCAGCAAGAGCATTGAAGATGAAACGTGGCTGGGTCTTTCAGCATGACAATGATCCCAAACACACCGCCCGGGCAACGAAGGAGTGGCTTCGTAAGAAGCATTTCAAGGTCCTGGAGTCTCCAGATCTCAACCCCATAGAAAATCTTTGGAGGGAGTTGAAAGTCCGTGTTGCCCAGCGACAGCCCCAAAACATCACTGCTCTAGAGGAGATCTGCATGGAGGAATGGGCCAAAATACCAGCAGCAGTGTGTGAAAACCTTGTGAAGACTTACAGAAAACGTTTGACCTGTGTCATTGCCAACAAAGGGTATATAACAAAGTATTGAGAAACTTTTGTTATTGACCAAATACTTATTTTCCACCATAATTTGCAAATAAATTCATAGAAAATCCTACAATGTGATTTTCTGGATTTTTTTTCCTCATTTTGTCTGTCATAGTTGACGTGTACCTATGATGAAAATTACAGGCCTCTCTCATCTTTTTAAGTGGGAGAACTTGCACAATTGGTGGCTGACTAAATACTTTTTTTCCCCACTGTACCATCCATATATGTTTTTTTTGCCATTACATAAGCTGCAGTCTCCATGGTGATATGGTTTTCAGCTTCAGTCCACAATATTGAAGAAGCTTATACAGTCACAACCAGTCTTCACTAGAAAGCCTCCAGCCTTTATCTGTTCATGGCTATAGGCTAAGCCCAGTCATTTTTTATGAAGACAGTGTTTTCTTAATGCAGTGTAGCAGTTATACCCAACAGTGGGGTTGAGGTAATTGGGCAAAGGGTCATTGTCCACAGTGCATAAAATACCATTGATTATTTTACAAATTTTTTTTGCTTGTAACACTAGACTAACTGCAAACAATTGTGCACAGGTAAAGGATAGCCCTTTTTATTTTCTAGTGGAAACAAAAGGTGTTTTTTTCCTGCAGCGTAATGGAGTGCACCAGTAGACCTGTGTTGTTGTGGGTGGGTATTTATTCTCTAACTTTAGTAGTGGGAGGCATCCAGGGCTAGGTAGTAGGGAGGGACCACCCAGTGGTCTAATCCGGATCAGGCTAAATCCCATTAGCAGACTACCCTGGACTGACTGCCACAGAGAGGAAAACCCCTCTGGAAGGAGCAGAGCTAGGAGCGTAAGCTCTGTGGCGGACGTCAATAGCAACACAACCCTGAGAGCACACAATGGAGTGTTAACCATAGCAATAGAAATAGAACCCAGTGGCCAAGCCTACATCTCTATGGTTTAGACCTCCACACACAAACCAAATGCACTGTTTGAATTTCTATGATCAAGTCCAAGGTAAAGCCGCCAATTACTAATAGCATTCAATAACAACCATCTCTTCACTGCAGATCCAAAGCCAAAGACATGACAGGCATTAGTAATCAGCCCTGTTTTGAGTCTTACCTTGTCACCATCCTCATCCTCTTGTCCCAGAACAGGCTGAGGACAGACAGGCTTGGCCTGTGTAGCTGGCCTTTCCCAAGGACGCATAATATAACACAGATTGTATCCGCTTCTATCTGCGTACAGAGACAGCTAGACTAATCTGGTGCTGCTGGCTTTACCCTAAACAGTGCTGTCTGTCTGTCTGTCTTGCCTGTCTGTCTGTCTGAGACAGTTATGTCACCACCACTGCTCAGTCAAAAGGATAGAGTTCACGCTGACCAGCAAGGTTAGACCGGTTCTGACCCCTGACAGACAGACAGGCAGGCAGGCAGGCAGACACCTCAGGCAGGCGGAGGCTGAGGAATGGGAAGTGAATGACAGAGAGTGGGCTACCTTTCAGGTTAATTCCTCTGGGAATTTGTGGGTTATTTGACGTAGCTATAAGGGGTCAGAGAATGCACATACTTCCTAATCTTTGTGCTGTAAAGTAGAGATTTAACTCTACAACAAAAAATGAGGGGGGAAAAAACACCTTAAAGAATAAAATGTAGCCTTCGTGATTAGAAGATGATGCTTCATTTCCAATTACCAACTAAATACTTTGTTGAGAATGCCTCCAACAGGACCAGGAAAACACCAGACACTCACCACAGACAAATCAACAGAAATGTCCATCGACATGCATGAAATGACTGCTCAGTGGACTGTCTATATAGCATGTATAACATGTTGTAGAGTACCCAACGCCTTTGGCTTATCACTCCCCCCTAAACCCTGAACATGATGTAAGCGACCTGTCTGCATTGTCTACAACTCTGAGCCATCTGTCGGCACATCCGCCGTGTGGTGGGGTGGAGTGAGCTGCACTGTCTGTTCCCCTGTCCATGGTGCTGGAGATGAGACAGGCCGTCTGGCTCCATGTCAGCCAGGTAAGCCAAGACAGGTTAACGTCACCTCCTCCACCCCCTGCAGAGGGCTAGTGCTCTAACAGACCATTTTTGGATGATACCGTTAGCAACCACATATGGGAACAATGTACAGCCACAAGCATTTTACCTGAAACAAAATGTATAATGTGATGCTTTGGGAGTATATTTTGAGTCCAATAGGGACCAATGAATGAAAGCTTTTATCAAGCTAGATTCATTATACAATTTCAAACTGAAATTCCTAGGCCTTTTTTGTATTTCTTCTAGGCATTGCAGTGCTGATGTATCCACGAGGCTCGTGTGTTTTTCTTTGCTTTCAGCCCTGGCTGAGTTGACAGTACATGTTCCTGCCGCAGCCAGCAGCCCTAAATAGACATTTGATCAGAGGAGCAGTCTGTATAAGGACATCTCTAGTAGCACGGAGATGTTTTCCTGAGTGCATGGCGTGTAGAGGGAATTCCTCATCTCTCACCATTTCATATTCCTGCCTTTGGTTTCAGGCTTCCTCTCACTGGTATGCTACATGGAATGAATTAGCACCACTGGATCAGGGAGTCTCCCACTCTCCTTTTCTTGTTAATTTGATGTGGTGGCATTTTTTCATTCCACATTTCCTGTCTTGTCCTCCAGTGGTCCAGATATTTTTTATCCCAAATCCCAGGTAGCCTTCTGCAGATCCCAGTCACAGAGGATACCGAACTACTTTTCATTTATTTGGGATTGCAGCATTGCACATAGAATTCAGCCTGTGCAGAGACAGAGACTGTGCTACTAAGAGATCGATCTATGGGCTTTTTTAATTGCCAGAGGATTGAGATGTAACTGGGGTAGGGCTTCAGATTGATGGTAAACTTATCTTCTTCCTGTGGTAGGCCCAGTTGGATCCAAGGCTGGAGTTTTGTTAGGCAAATCTGACTGTTGGATTGTGCGCTGATCTCAGGTGGTCAAGATATGATCTAAGAGTGTCTGCTAAATGTCTATATTGTAAATGTCAAGAGAAATACAGTACCTTTTTCAAACATGGGAGAGGTTGGTTCCTGTTTTCGATAAGTCCTCAACCTCTTTTTCATTTCTTTCCTATTGAAACAGAAAGGTCATCAACTTGAGAGGTTTAAGGAGTCTCTGAAGATTTTTGACATCCAGGGCTTTTTTTTGTAAAAATAGTGGAATTATCTTTTGTGAGCAATTGTTTTTTGACCATATTTGTCCATTATCCCTTTAGATGTTTGCATACAGTCAGATTTGAGTAAATAACACAGCAATAGAATGCAAAAATAGGCAAATTAGACTAGAAAAATAGGCAAATTCGTGATTTAAAAAAAACAGATTAATAAACAATCGGAAATGGAATTCACACTTACTTTCGCTCATTGAATGGATTTATTTCGCTCATGTTTGGTGTTTACTGCTGCAAGGTAACGGAGTAAACTAAATATTGATCTCAGTCAAACGCAATGGTCAAACTGACTACGTTTACAAACATACGCGTCATGTCATTGTGATTTCATGATGTCATAATTGAGATACATTCGGACTGACGGCGGCGCGCTGTTGACTGATCAGCTCTAAACAATGGGTGGTCCTCTGTAGCTCAGCAGGTAGAGCACGGCGCTTGTAACGCCAAGGTAGTGGGTTCGATCACCGGGACCACCCATACACAAAATGTATGCACGCATGACTGTAAGTCGCTTTGGATAAAAGCGTCTGCTAAATGGCATATTATTATTATTATTATTATTAATGAAATCAACACGTAAAACAATACATTATGTAAACGCTAAAAATCATGATAATGTTTGGTGATTGACTTTCCATTTCTGGGTTTGGGAGCAATGAGCATTATCATTCACTCAAAAAGCAGCAGTCCACAATGTTCCATATCACAAGGAGATGTTGTACAAACTCTTTAGGCCTATACAAGCTATACTGGAAACATGTTCACTACATGAAAAGTTATAGTTCCTATAGAATCTTTAATGTTCTATATTTACACATTGTACAAAGCTTTCGCCAAACAGACACAACATCCACAAAACGTTCAACTCAAATAGAACAGGCATGTAGTCTATTACTACTAGGTTTTCATAAAATCAAGGTAAAACGTTATTTAAAGTGGCATTCTGTAGTTCCTACATCCATTTTTTTTTTTTTTTTTACTTTTAAAATTCATATTAGCCCATTGATTCTTGAAGAATGTAACTTATACATGTCTCATGAGCTTAGTTCAATGGTCATATCCCATTAGAACAAAATATAAGCTTTGCTTTACTCCAATGTTTGTAAATAAATTAAATGCAAACAAACACTACCTACTGGACACAGACTTCAGTTCGTCTCGTTTTAATTTTCATTTGGTTTAGTTGTCAACTAACGTCAATTTAACATGAAATTAGTAACAAATGTCATCACGTCGTTTTAGGTAAGAAGTTAGGTGAAAAAAATATGAAATGCCCTTACCTTGACTTTTTGCAAATCCAATCAGTTTTCCACGTTGATTCAACTTCATCACATATACAACCAGTTTTTGCCCAGTGGGTATATAGCCTCAAAACATGGTTAAAACGTATGTTGATATCATGGATGGCCAGTCCTTGCATCCACAGCTCTGTCATCCCTCAGCTTTTTACCGAAACAGGGGCAGGGTCTCAGCTTTGTTATTGATTCAACTACTGATTGCCACTTTAACAATGATCATGTTGCATTTTAAGATTATTATATCCAGCAGAGTGTGCCATTGTACCATTTCTTTTACATGTTTGAGTGAAAACTGAACAAACAGAAGACAAAAACCTCTCTCTGAAATAATAAAAGACAAAAAGGGTTTGAAATCTGAAGGCTTTGCTGTAGGCCTAATAACAGTAAAAGTTGGGAACTGACCATTGTTAAGTCAAATGGTCCAAAAGATGAGCTGTTCTAAAAGGAGCATGTATGACACCAGAATAATAACAAATAACAGTACAATTCGAATGCCTCTTATTAAAATAGACAGATCTAGATTACAAAAGGAATCCTGAAAGTCAACTGTCAATTACACAGAGGCACAGAGCTCCTCTCTGATAGCTAGGTGGGGTCAGTGACTAGCAACACTGGGGTGTAGGGGTTTGACCCGCACCATGCGAGACAGTCCAAGTCTTAGACCCTGCCCTGGAGACTTCACTGGGGCACTCTGTGATGAGCCGGGACTTCTTCCAACGTGACCTGATGACAAGTTGTATGAGAAAAATAATGAGTGAGCTGGGTCTTAAAATGCCTGAATACAAGGCACAACCTTGTTTCCAAACATGCAGTCCTACACCTGCTTATGTGATTACGATGACCTCCTTGACCTTTCAGTCAGTCTTACCTGGAGGATTCCACTTGGGTATTCTGCCCCCTGCTGGACTGCCAGAGACTGCAGGTCTTGAGACAGGAGAAGTGGCAGGAGGCCTCTTGGGCACGTAGTCAGGCTTGGCAGTTGGACTTCTACCTAAGGTGGGAGTTTTTAGACTGGGAGTCCCTGTGAGGCAGAGAAGGACAGTTTGATTCAAACTCTGCAGGCTGGGAGAATAAAGAGATTTAGTTATTAGAATGACAATTCTACTACAAGCAGAGTAAAAGTAGTTCTTAAAGCTATTAAGTACCTGTCAAATGTGGTTTGGTTTTCGATGGTTTTGAAGGCTGCTTTTCTTCCTTTGAGGCCACCTGCGGTTTAGCTTTTGGTTGCTCCTTCTTAGCCGTCTTCTCTTTCGTGGTAGTTTTCTTTTTCTCTGGTTTCTTTACTGTGAATTCATCATCATCACTACTTTCGGCTGGATCACTGAAATCAGCATCGCTCTCTGAATCTGAATAGAAAGAAATATTCAGTATACAGTACACAACAAATGTGTGTCATGAAATACACCTGGAATGTAGAAACACAAAGAGCCTATGCCATTGGGTTGCTATGACAACCTGGTGTCCCTTTGGGCTGGTAGTCCTCATCGTCATCCTTCAGCATGCTCCTTTGCTGCTCTGTAGCCTTGGAGGCTGCCTTCCTCTGTCTGGAGGGGGCGCAAGGGGATCCCTGATCATTCGTGATCTGGTCAAGGCCTAAGGGAGGAGATTATCTTATCACAAAGGGATCACTAGTGTCTGTGAGATGCAATAGCATGGGATCCAATTATATTAAATAGATTTGTCAGTGGTGGGCATGTGTAGCATCACCACCCATGCATTTGAGACATAAAAAATAAATACCCAAAAGGTTGATGTCCACACTGCAGTTGGAAAGGCGTAATGAGGGATCCAGATTTTCACCATCTCTTTGCGGTTGATTCTTGACATATTTTTCTACAAATAAATAGAATCCCCCCAAAAAATGTTTGCCAAATAATTGTTGACAGTGAGTGAGACATGCAAGTCATCCATTCTCTACTGTATGTATGTGCACATTTTGATAAAACTACCAATGAGCCAAACAGCAATTTGGAAGTGTATTACATGTTTCAAACACAAGTTGTAAAGAATCAACAGTCCAATGCAAACCTGGATTATAAGAACATTGTTCCTCATTTATCTCTGTGGTTTTAAGCAACGACAGAGTAAGAGCTGCTTCCAAATCTCTGTCATACAGCTTCTCATCCAATGGTTTCCTGAAAAACACAGGTACAATTCTGATGTTAGCATATTTTTACAATAAAGGCCCTCTCAAAGGGACATGTGACAAAGTTGACAGTGCTGAAGTTTCACAGACAATACTGATCAACATAGAGTAGATTCATCATAAGGTTACATTCATAGTGACTGCCTCTTTGTATCACCATGACACATCAAAACACCCCTACTGCCACTGGCCTCGGAGACCTTGCCAATGATTCACCACACCTTGTTGCTCTTTGTGATTTGATGCATGGCAGATCACAAGCAACACGTCTGGCTAAAATACTCATTTGAGTTTGAGCACTGATTTATGGAGTTCTGCTCTGGGCCAGTGGTCAGCCTGATGTCATTACATACACCATCTAGACACAGTGTCCCTAATACTGCCTGCAACTGGGTATTTGTTATTGTTTATCTGTCACTATGTAGAATAAGGTGAAGGGGCACCGACTGAGGGCAACAAGGACATTCAGTGCGTCTGTGTTCTGCGTGCATGCTTCTGTTTGCATAGCCACTGCCACACACTATTAAACTGTTAAGAATGTTTTATACCTTTTGTCTCCACAACAGATTTATTGAGGAACAAAGAAACAACAAGTAATATGAATATATGGTGTTCTTTCGGCTTGTTTCTGATTCCACTTCCTACCTGTCCTTGCGGCCTATGGGCTGTGAGCCAGTCTCTTGACTGGAGGCCTTGCTTGAAGGTTTCTTGCTCTTCTCCTGCGCTGATTCTTTCACATTATCCTTGGCTTTTTTGCTGGGTGGTGCTTTTACAGAGGCAAAATCCTCATCTGTTTCTCATGATCAAAAACAGTGGGACACATGATTACATACAAACCATAAAAGGAGAAGGGAATTGCAACACCAATTCTGGCTATTTACACCATAAATTAATGAAATACATTGGATTTGACATACCATCATCCAAGTCCTTGAAATCTGAATAATTTACAAGCTTTGTCTTCCTGTCAACAAAACACACACACACACACACACACACACACACACACACACACACACACACACACACACACACACACACACACACACACACACACACACCTTATAAGTGACGAGATTTGGCAGACGGGTTGCCTCCCACAATGTACCAATGTAGGTCAGGGATTTAAGAGACTTAAGATCAAGCAAAGCAATAAACTAGTCTGTGTTGTCAGCTCGTACTGGATAGCGTTACGTTAGCAAGCTACTGTAGCTAGCTAAGCTTAGCTAATAAAGAAGGTAAGCTTTGGTTACAAACCTCGATGGTCGCTCCATATCAGTTTTATTTTCTTTAGCGATGGTCAAAATTATATTATTGCTCAAATGTTTTACTGATCGTATCATAAAAGTAGCCATACAACATACTATGCAGACAAACTTTCAATCAGCCCGCCCGAAAATGTGATTACAAATCTAACGATTGAGATTCGATGATTCGTCGTTTCTTGTTCTTCACACGTGTGAGACAAAGGGAGATTCTCAATTATGTTTCGTCGTGTTCTCTCTCCTCGTCTCCTTCTTAAAACCCATTGGAGAAGAAAGTCAGAGGGGCGGGACCTCTGGCTTTCTCATCCAATGTGTTTGGAGAAGGAGACGAGGCGAGAGGATGCAACGAGAATTCAATTGAGATCATCTCAAAGATATTTATAACTAACACTCCTTGTTCGAGCTGTGTGAGATGGCGAGAAATGGCGACAAATGGCGAATCTGCTGGGAAGAAATACAACTTTCACGAATCTGTAACCACAGGTCTAGGATCAGATTATACCAAGTAACATTAAAAGTGAATCAACAGTCATTAATCAATTAACAATTCGAGAGGTTTTGTGTTTAACAAAAATAATTTGGTGCGTTATTATAATTAAATAGTAAATGATGTTATTGAAGTTGTAGAAGTAGCTAGTGTTATGTGTGGTGTCTGTTTCAGGTCTTAATATTGCCAAAATTAGATTAGCTAAATTAGGCTTTTGTTGTGTGAATTAACGATATCAACTTAATTTCATTAGAGTTGTACAGGTTTAGCTACATCAATTGACATTTTAAGCAAGTGCAATATAATAGCAGTGGTGTACCTTCAGGCTCTGATCAGTTCCTACACCCAAACGAGGGCATTGCGTTCATCCACCTCTGGCCTGCTGGCCCCCCCTACCTCTGCGGAAGCATAGTTCCCGCTCAGCCCAGTCAAAACTGTTCGCTGCTCTGGCACCCCAATGGTGGAACAAGCTCCCTCACGACGCCAGGACAGCGGAGTCACTCACCACCTTCCAGAGACACTTGAAACCCCACCTCTTCAAGGAATAGGATAAAAGTAATCGTTCAAAGTGGTTGTCCCACTGGCTATCATAAGGTGAATGCACCAATTTGTAAGTCGCTCTGGATAAGATGACGAATGACGAAAATATAAATGTAATGTAAATGTGTAAAGTACTTTTTTTAAAAATACTTTAAAGTACTACTTAAGTCGTTTTGGGGGGTATCTGTACTTTACTTTACTATTTATATTTTTGACAACTTTTACTTTTTCTTCACTACATTCTTAAAGAAAATAATGTACTTTTTACTCCATACATTTTCCCTGACACCCAAACTACTCATTACCTTTTGAATGCTTAGCAGGACACAGAAATGGTCCAATTCACGCACTTATCAGGAGAAAATCCCTGGTCATCCCAACTGCCTCTGATCTGGCAGACTCACTAAACATTAATGTTTTTTTTTTTAGGGGGTGCTTTGTTTGTAAATTATGTCTGAGTGTTAGAGAGTGCCCCTGGCTATCCGTACATTTTAAAAAACAAGAAAATTGTGCCGTCTGGTGTGATTAATATAAGGAATTTAAAATGATTTATACTTTTACTTTTACTTTTGATACTTAAATATATTTTAGCAATTACATTTACTTTTGATACTTACGTATATTTAAAACCAAATACTTATAGACTTTTACTCAAGTAGTATTTTACTGGGTGACTTTCCCTTTTACTTGAGTCATTTTTCTATTAAGGTATCTTTACTTTTACTCAAGTATGACAATTGGGTACTTTTCCCACCACTGTATAAAAGGTTTGTGCTGGCAGAAATGTTTGAGGTGGTTATTGGTAAATTAGCCCTACCGGCCGGCAGATGGCACTATTACTAATTTTATGTCGTTTGTCATCTGCGTCCAATTGGAATGTATGCAGCCGGCTATACCCCGGCGACCGGCTCGTACATAAAACATCCTCCATTCAGGCTGCAAAGGTGTCGATTTCCACCCGTGCATCAATCTAAGTAACATAATTTAAAAAATCCCCATCAAATTTAGTCAGCTTAAGGTATCGATTTCTATTTTTTTGTTGCATGGGCTGCGTCTCAATCACCGTTTCTGCCTATGTCGGCCTTCCGCAATTGCGGTGGAAGGGGGCCGACCATTAGTGTTGTGTGTTACCTAATGTTACCATTCTATGGAAAATGGGGACACAAGTGTATAGCCAGCTGCATACATTCCAGTTGGGCGCAGCTGACAAACAACGTAAAAAGGAATAATAGTGGCATCTGCCTGGCGGATTGGGCTATTGGTAAAGGTGGTCACGTGAGCAAGAACAACTTTCTTTTGCTAGCTGGTTAGCCATGTTTCTGTACTGAAAAAGTTGATGGTTTCCATGTTTGAACTGTTGTGAAATAATTTGAATTTGTATAATTTCCTTTGCATATGTTGAAGGACTGACACTAGAGGGAGCTCCTGCGTTATGATCATCATTCATGACATGCACATCAGAGGAGGCTAGTGGGAGGAGCTGTAGGAGGACGGGCTCATTGTAATGGCTAGAATGGAATACATGGAACAGTATCAAACACATATGGAAATCACGTGATGGACTCCGTTTGATTAATTCCATTCCAGCCATTACAATGAGCCTGTCCTACAATAGCTACTCCCACCAGCCTCCACTGATGCACATCATGGTCTAGGGTGAGAAGACATAGCTATTTTCTTTACATTTAGAGTTGCATTTGTCACATGACCAGAGCAGTATGTAGTGTACTGATAACTTCGATCACTGTTGCAGGCCCAGACTTGGGTGACATCCACAATTCCACAGAAGCCAGTGATCCAGCAGGTGGCACTATGTGACTTATCCTACTGGGTAAGTTTCAGATGGCCTGGTGACCTGGCGAGTGACATGAACGTGACAGGTCCCCAGCCCGCCTACACGACGGCTGGAAGCAATCACAACTCACTCATTTTCTCTTATAACGAGACTTCTGAACGAGCACCACTTTCGAGGGTTGTCATTTCCTAGTTTGTGGGTGGGTGGCAGACAGTCGGGTGTGGTTTGTCACGCAGTGGACCTATCTAGTGATTGTCCATATCCCTGGACCCAGACTTAGGATGGAATGCTTGCAGCCATGAGTGTAAAGGGCTTGCGGTCACATTCCTCCACTCCTACAACACTGCCTACGGTTCAGACTAAAATATCAGCCCCGGTCATCTTGCGGTCATAACATCACGCTCTCTTTCACAGGTAAAGGTATTTCAATAGCATACAGAATGTAAAACTTTGATAGTTGGTGTGACCAGACAGTCTGACAGTCTGAGGCTAGAGAGACAAGACTATACTAAACTGATCTAGGGCAAACCTATCAGAAATGTGCATTGGCCCTTATCCATATAGACTTCTAGCTCTTTTTAACTCGGTACAGGAAAGGGGAAATAGCACGCTCCCTGACCACTATATGTACCCAAACAAAGTCAATCATAATATTTTGGGCAGTAAGAGCAAACATCACTGTTATTTCTGCTAAGGCAGACAGCTAATGGGTTTTGCAAATAAATACACTATATGGCACGACATTTACCATTTAATCAATAACTGGAGGTTATGGGTATTAAACACAATGAATTACAGTTTAATTAAAGAGTGAATATCTAATGAAAGATTTCCAGTGTAATTACCCATTCAAAACATTCTGTGACAAGGTTTCGCTAATTACATGCAACAATGTAATTACCTGCCTAGTGCCAGTGTAACCACCATATAAATCATCTACCAGGGGTATGGTATTTGCTGTCAAATTCAACAAATAATTCAGCCATTCAGTCTTATGACTGGTCTTTATTTACTTGGCACTGTAGCAGTGTGGTCATCTGTGTGCTACTTACTGTGAGCATGTAGTAGAAGAGATCGGAATTGGACAACTTTTTTCTCTTTAAACCACTAGTGTAACTCCTATCATTATGCATAAGACTACTGAGTGTCAGTTTGAGAGGGGCTCCTCGTGTAGACAGTCTGTCCTTATATGGAGGTTCTGCAGCCTTTGACGTTGTTATTTTACATTGGAATAAATAAATAAATCCCCTAAAAAACATATATTTAAATATCTAGGTCTGTTGCTAGATATTGATGCTGTTACTGGTCACAGTCTCATTGAACCCTACTTTACATTGGTTTGGTTTGGCTGTCTGACCACACAGATTTTCATTGTTTGACTTTCACTTCTTTCCTTTAATAAAGGCTCAGATGACAGGAAGATGCTTTTACAGGGGCCACTACCCGCGTTCATCTACCGCGTGCATCCAGTGCATGTATTTCTTATTATTCACATTAGGAATATCCTTGGAAATCACAAGTTTTAGGCATTTCAACTTTTTAAAGTGAAGTTTTACTAAATAATTTGCAAAAGGATGCTTGTCCAAAGGTTTTCACAGTTTTTATTACAATTACACCAATATATTGGATTGAATAGTGAAATCGTTGAATTTGATTGATTGTTTACCAATTAATTCAGTACTGCTAGACCGGATAGTGTAATTTGCACTCTATAGGTGGTGCTGTATATATGCTCATACAACCCTCTGCTAAATATGGATTGTCTGGCTCATAAGTGTTTCGGATATCCGCCGGTACTGAGGTTGTGTCAGCGTGGTGTTTTTGCAACTCAGAAATGGCCTTAGGTCTGATGTCTTTGGGCACCAAACAGTTCTGACCACAGCAGCCACCGCTCCAGCCCTCAGGCGGACCAAAGTGGGCCAGACCAGTCACTTGATCAGTGTGTTCCGGAGTTTGTTGTCTAAGACTCCTCTTTAAAAGTGTACGCTTTCAGTTACTTTTTTTGTGCACTCACCAGGCAGCCACAATGCTAATTGCTGGGGGGATGTGAGGCGGTAGAAAAACAATCACGAAGGGACTTAAGGAAGTGTCTCACCACAGACTCAAGTCCATCAGTGTTTCTCTGAGTGAGGTAGGCATATTCCGGTCCCAGAACTGAGCTGGCCTTGTGTGTAAATATCTGTGATATAGCCTAGCCGACACGGTGAAGCATTGTATCCAAATTGTAAATGTTTTGTACAGGAAGTGGCTACTTGTTGAATGTATATTGAAAACACCAGAATTCAGTTGCAGCTGTATAGCACATCAGCAATGACA